TAATAGCAGCTTTTACATATCAGCAAAATTAAAAACCAATATTTCACCGTATATAAATATACAGGTATGTCATCTTCATGCTTTCAGTAAATGAGTTTAATGCAATCACTATACCGAAAATGAAAAACAATTGGGGTCGGCGAACAATTTTTCAAGAAACACGATTCCAAAATGTCATGGATAATGGGACATTGGTTTCTATGGTGAAAATATTTTTTCATTTCTCAAAATTTTGCTTGGAGATATGAAATGAAAAGGTCATATAGTAATAATAATTTGAATGCTAATATTCTTCAAACAATTCAAAAAAATTGCAAGTTATTTCAGCGAGTTTCCAGTCTGATTACAGTTTTTTTAAATATACAGTGGGAATTAAGCATTCCTCCCATGATGCATTGCATATATACGCTCAGTAGAATAAATTTAAAATTTTGCTCAAACTACCTTAAACATGGCACAGAACGAGCGCTTTATCTTACTCTTAGGAGACCCACTTAGCGGTGTAATCTAAACTCCAGTCAGACAAGTTGGTGATAATGTTGGCAATGATTGTGAAATAGAAATAGTGTGAATCAATGCAACAATGTATTCTCGTTTAACACCCACTCAAATTGTGTTCAGTGACAGTGAGACAATGTCAAAATACTGATATCATGTCAAAACACAAAAGAGTATGATACGCTTTGCATTCCTATTGCAGCTACAACGGTGTACTGGTTAGTGTTTTATCAATATCTTTCACTTTTATAATTAGCAACAAGTACGGTTGTCATGCATATTTCCCCTTTGCTGCCATGGTAAAATTATCTGCATTTGTAATAAAATTGCATAAGTTTCGTAATTTATTTTTATTTTGTTTTATGTCCCCATTCTATTTGCAGAATTAGTTTCTAGCAAATTTATGAGAGTGAAAATAAAATCGTAGTATAGGAAAATGCATTTAGATACAAATAATTTTGTTTCAAGTCAAGAGGGCATGATAACAAAACAAAAGTACAGCCATTTTTGATTTTGATTAATATTTTTCTATTTATTTTAAATAGTGCCTAATGAATAAATTCTCATATATTTGCAGATTTTGTAATATAATATACAGCAATTTCCGCAAATCACAACGAAAACACATTCTGTCAATGCAACACACATTTTCATAATAAACAATAATGTCAATTTGTTGACACTACTCGACATCAAAGAGTGAGTACCTTGTAACACATTTTTAAAGTAATTTTTTCACCCAATGTCATCATACAAAATTTTGAAAAGTTGAGAATTTTATTTCTTGTCATGCTTTTTCACATTCTTTTTTAAAATTGATAACATTTTGTAACTTGGGATCAGAAAATATGCATAACGAAGAGGCAATAAAAGACTTCACTTACACTTAGTTCCTCGCAGTAGATTGAGATCATGCATCACGGTCACAAACGAAACAGAAACACCTGCTCTCCTTTGAACCTGATCTTACGGTACTTCCATATTTTAAGAGAAACTGCAACCAAAAGCTGCAGTGACCTAATTCATGATATAATCATTCCACTTTCCAGTGATCTTTCTTGGTGACAAATTGACTTCCATAACGCAGTGGTCAAAACGTTCTTAGCCAATCAAACTCAGAACGCGATATTGAACACAGGTAAATTAGGAATACTTGAACACAAAGCGATAGAAACCATCAAAACATTTTTTTTTTTAACTGCTCAATCACAAAGGTTAGTGTTTAAAGAGATGCTTTAAATGGCCAACACCAATTCAAGTTACTAATGGTCCATTTTTGTAAACTGGCAATTGATTATTTGAATAGGAAATTAAAAGATTGGATAAGGTCAAGGTTTATTTTTGGCAATCAGAAAGCGAATTCCGGAAACTTTCAAAATCAAATTATTTAAGACACCTACGAATGAAGGAATGAATATGTGATGATAGTAATGTGAATATTAAAGATATTGCTATTGTTCAGGGCAAATTTTGAAATATGTTGAAGGAAATATCCACATGATATATTCAGCAGTGATTTTTTATTTTATACCAACTTCATGTACACAGGGCTCTAAACTAACATATTTTGGGGGCTGGGCTACGAGTTTTAAGAGCTGGTAGTCTCATAATAATATTGGGTAGTACATCAGATTTTGTGGGTTCTTATAGCCATGCTAGAAAAATGTCAACAGAAATAAATAAATAAATATACATGTATTGCAATAAACAAATGTAATGTGGCCCATTTGTTGTGAAACCCATGTCTGTGTGCCTTGGGCTAGTGTTAATTTGGAGGCTGCCCATACACATACCTAGTTTTATAAAAGCGATTATAATCAAACTTAGAAGTTTATTTCTGTTCTTTTTTCAACTTAGGCCACATTTTTACAGTAGACAAAATAATTAGGTTAAAGTTTTACTGATTTTGGATTATTTCATTATTCGTACGATTTACGATTGATTTATAAACATTTAAATAACGTTTAGAAACTCAAAATAGCAGTTGAAAATAAAAAAATAAAAAAATTTGACCAATCACAGTAACTTTAATTTTAACCTCAATGGTGTGGATAAATATAATTTTGAAATAATTTTAGCATTGTCCAATCAGCTATCAGTCTCAATAAAAATCAGAAGATACAAAAAGGTACAAAAAACATTTCAATAGCGTATCACAATCTGTCATTTGAATTTAAATACACCCTGTATATATAGTGAAAGCATCCATGGATAAATGAAATATAAGTGTGTATTATTACTCCTGTAACAGCTGAATTGTTTTCACTAGAAAAGTTATGATTTTATACCATTCAATGCCAAGGTCAACTAATAAAACCTACATCGTTTTTCCCCCATATATTTTTGACAAGTTTTATTATGACCAATGGAAAATTGTGTACATCTGGTCAAAAATCAACAAAGAAATTATAGAAAAATAAGTACGTTGCACCAAAAATGTTATTAAAACGGCATTTAATTAATGAGGACAATATCCCTGACAGTCTCTGTAATTATCTGTCAAACCATGTTGAATGCCAGAGACACTTTTTTTTTAAAAACAATTTATGAAAGAAAATTTTAAAAATTTCATTAAAAATGTGAGAAAAAGTATGGTATTTTTAAGTGAAATATTCTGTACTACAGAAATATAGAAATTTATGATTTTCCAAAAGTTAGTCTCTTGTATTAAAGCAACTTACAGATTAATCTTTTTATGTCAGCAATTTTATTTGGAGTTTGTATAAGAATTTGGTAACCCAGTAAAACTTACATATATGCTTAGCAAAGCTATTTGATTGATTGCGTGGTTTCAAAAGCTGTTTCAAATTTGTAACACTGATAAAATTGTGAAAACAATACCTCATTTGTTCTACATTGTGGGAATACAGGACTGTTAAAGAGAGGTAGTTTTCGTGCAGCGCATGTTCGAATTTCACGTAAACAAACAATGCATTTTATGTGTTGTTTATGTCGATATTAGTGCCATACTGAACAAGATGTGACACCATGATCATCAACCTTTAACGAAAACGTTGAATAAATTTGTTATTCCCAATCTAATTTAAAATCAGGCAAGTATGTATTTTAACATTTTAACACTGTGAATTGCTAAATACAACTATTTCATGTTTTAAAGAAACTTTAAGGGGAGATGGCTAATTTACAGGGAATTTACAGTTGAGCAAGGCTAACCGAGTCGTGACCTCGATGTGGTTCGTAACCAGTCTTGTGATTGGTTGTTGACAAATGCTGAACAGGCTACGCCTCCAACTGTGCCGTGCGTTCGGGCAAACCGTTAGGAATTCCTAAATGGAGTAAATTTGTGTAGTTTTCTTGATTTATTCTGCAGATATCGGTAAAATTTAGGTAAGGCTGTGGCGAAATTTGAAGAAGCAACTAATATTCTTCAACCTGGTATTTTTTTTATATTTTATTTTTCATTCGTTTCGTTTGTTTTTTCGAGTTTAAAAAATGTGAGCTGGCTGGAGCCTTCATCCCTTGTCTATTTCTTACACTAGATACCAGCCGATACCCCCCCCCCCCCGCTCATAGAGACTGCGTATTACAGTTGATTATAGTTCCTGGGCTCCCTGTGATATACCTAAAATTATATTTATAAGCACCTACTAAACTTTAATCTAGGAGTGGGGTGTCGGTCGTTTTCTAAACGGATTAACTGGATTATGATGCAGTTTAGAGTCATATGGTACATAATAAATAATGGATTAACTGATACATTCCACAAAATTCAATAAATTTCAATAACTGTGAACAAAAATATTTCAAATTTATTCGAAAAAAGTTGTTTTTTCTATTTGCCATATATCAATCTTTAAAAAAAAAACAGCTGAGACTAGCCAGTCAATCAGTTCATTGAGATCGTGACCTCCTATTTTACAGGTGGCTGAGACAAGTCGCGGTTACATGAAACTGTGTCTGTGTGTAAGGTTTTGAAACACGTAGCCGACAATCGCGTAAAACAACATGGATACCCACAAAGGTTGCACTCGTGTCGTGGGGGGTGGGGTAGGAATCGGGGGACCAGAATGCCAGACAGAACACGTTTCTGTGCTTAATAACAGAAGGCCCAACCATGGAGCTAAAATTATTTTAGCTCCATGGCCCAACACAATGAATAATCAATAACTCGAATAACCAAATCAATCCAGCTGTAATAAAGACTCTCGTTATTTAATATGAAACAACACTAGTTAACGCCCCTGATTGCTGCATTTGAAATCACCATAGGGACATAGATGACGCGATTACAATTTCAGATAGGCCATACCGCCAATATATAAAAAGTAAATAAACTATATAGCAGCTGGACTAAGTTGACATTCCGCAGTAGCTTCGTGTGAACGTGTGTTATTATTTGTTTAGTGGACGTGTTATATACAAGACCGCGCGACGATTTCACTTATATGGCTACATTACCTCAAATAATACCTCCGGTTCCCCCCAGTGGCGTCAGTATCGCCGGGAAGGCCGAGAAGAAGTTGAAAACAGTGGGTTCTTACCTGTAATCCATGTCTACTATCTTGATGTCATGGTCCATTCTGTGTATCTCGTATCGAGGTAACACACCGCGTGCTGATAGGTCAGGCGTATCACGTGCCAAGAAACGACTCTTTTCATTGGTCGGCTTATTCGCAGACATCAACGTATACTTCTTAGGTGAAAAACATATATGAACAGTGTCCACGGTAGTTGGCTACCTTTTAACATTGTGAAATTGTTTTGCTCTCTACATTATTTTGTTATTGCATGCTACTTTTCGCAGAAAACGCAATTCAGACATTTATGAAAATGGCGAGTCTAAGCATAGACCCTCCGTACTGGATTTAGTATTTCTATGTAAAAAAATCTCACCATATTTCACATTTCATTTTTTTGTTAATAGTTTGTATTGGGGGAAAACGTAAAGTTAATGACGTGGGTTAAAATCCATAATTATGTGACACTTGAGAACCCAAAAATTTGACAAATTTGTCGCCATATTTATTAGGTCAAATTTGTCTGCATACCTTTACTCTAATTAATGACCGACACATTGAAGTTGTGTATGCGTCGATTGTTGTTTCGAATTACAAGCAGAGAACAGCGTCACTTGAGATAAACAACAATAAATAGGCAATTTTAGATAGCTTTCGAATGAAATATATTATTATAGTAATTCACCACTGTTGATGACTTTTTCATAATACCCCGGTGCAATATTTGTATGGTTCATCTATGTAAGAATTTATTTTACTAAGTTATTCCAGCTCTTGGTCCGTAATTTGAATATTTGAAAACTCTTATTTAATACTAATATTAATTTGGAAAGATTTATATCGAAGTAAAACTCATTATGTAACAATATCATGATGCATTTTATAATGCCAGATCTATTTTGTTTTTCAAATAACTTTATGTGATATAATATATTAATTAATTTGTTTTGCTTTAATTTTAGTTCGTATACATAGAACAAAATAAAACAAATGCAAACTGAGCAGCTTAGAGAAATGGTCATGATCTCACCTGACACCAAAGTTACACATTACAGCATACAAATAATTGTTGGAAAATTGGCATGATCACATAACCATATTAACACAGACACGGAGTTAGCGAGAAGTAAGTAACCAAGATAACAAAACATCAGGTATGTTTTATTTTATTGTGGCCAGGATTACCTGTTTATACGCATGCGTTATGCTTAATCCAGACATACTTATGTAACTTGGATTACGGACAATTTTCTAATTTTAATATCTCGTTACTATAGTAACGGCTGTTGCTAGGGCTATTATATGACCCAACTCCCTGCGTTTCTCTGCTGTCTCAACGAAACGACATTGTGTTTGCACAGTTACTACTCAGTGATACGTAAGAGCATTACCATGGTTACCATCATCATTGTCTGAAGGTTAGCAAAGCCACGCAATAAGTTTAAGTTGTAAAACGTAACACCGTTCAGTTGTCCATGACAACGGTTGCAGGTCTTTGTTTTATTGTATATGGCATACGGCAGGTAGAGAATATTTTCTTCATGACAATTCTAATCCTACATGAGACATTTCTACTGTAGACGTTTAGCCTTTCATTTTAGCCTGTCAACAGTTACGTTATTGCCATTTTCGACGCGGGGATGTATGTTAACATTTAGCTATGTGTCCGATTTCCTACTTTACCAATAAGTTCGTCATTTGTGAGGTTTTTTCTGCAAATTTCATCACTGTTTTCACGGTTCTTCATCTTCGCCAGAAGCTATGTTAAATAAAAGCTGATAAATACTATTTATACTATTTATCAGCTTTTATTTAACATAGCTTCTGGCGATTTTCATTTTTCCCCAAATTGTCTATGTATTATTATGGTACGTTTAAAAAGAATAGCGAGATTCAAAAATGCGTCTAAAATGTAATACATATATATACATAGATTACATGTTTGGCACGTTTGAAATAATTTTTTCTGTGTCATGTTTTCAAAAATTATATACGCTTGAAAATTTACTAGTAAATTGTTGACTTTTTGACACGTGCAAAAAATGCAACCCGTACAAGCGTTATTGCGTTAAACTAGGGTTTCAAAAAGCGGTATTACGGCAAAGTCGGGTTTCAAAAAGTCTAAGTAACAGTTCAACCGCGTGCCAAAAAATACCTAAATGTGAAACTAAAAGAAAAATGTAATGTAAATATGAATAATATGTAGTTATTAAGTGAAAAATGTGTTTGTTTCAAACATATATGTTATGCTGTGTCACGTGTAGGTGTGTATCATATAAATGTAACTACTGAAAATACACTAATTTTACTGTTAATAAATGGCGGTCATTAAATAGTTAGTATTTGCAATGTTGTTGGTATTTGTATTCCGTATTGATTGCTCTTTGTTTGAAGCAATGAATACATCGATTTCCTTGACTAGTTTGTTGAAAGTTAATATAATTTATTTGTAACGTATAATAAAATACATTCTGCCTTTATTGTAACATCGTTTTCAATAACAAGATTACGAAATTTCTCTCGTTTTCTAATTGTAAAACTGATGTAATCTGTTTCTGATAACACAAGTACACAAGCACTTATCTTCATTTTTCGGTGGCCCTATAAGTAATGAAATTCGGATTGTTCAAGACACGTCACCTAGCAAAATTTATAGATATGATAAAACAAGTTCGCCATAGATGTTTCGCAACTTTCAATAAAACTTCAGACTCATTTCTCGAAAATATTTCTGGTGGCAATCGCGAATGCCAAAACCTAAAACAAAATGAGAGCCGATAAAAAATAACATAAAACATACGAAAGAATAATAATTAAGTTCATATTTAAAAAGATAATGAATCTTATTTCAATCAGACTAAACCTTCAGTAGCCGGGCGGCTAAACGTCTTAAACGCATAAAAACAAAATCAACACACGTGTTCAACTTAAGCGGGCGTACATCTTACCTACGACCTTGACCACACGTGGGAAAATGGCGGAGGTAGAAAGTGGGAACTCGTCGGGAGAAGAGATGGAGGTGATAGAAGCCGATGGTGACGATGAAGGCATCGATGATAGAACACATAAGACAGGAGAGACGAATGTGTATCTTCCGGGTGGAAACATGGATGAAGGGGAAGAACTTGTCAGGGACGAATCGGCATATGTTATGTACCATCAAGCTCAAACAGGTGATGCATGTCCGACCTTTAAATCTTCAGCAAGTTCTAATTTGAATATTTTTCTAAATTTGTATTTATTATTTAAGCAGTCATAATAATAATAATAATACAGGTTTTCAATTCTTGTCAATTAAACCATGTAGAATCATGTTAAGTATGTTCGATTTTCTGCTGTTATCACGGCCACAAATTCATTTTCTTGATTTTTAGTCCCCGTTCGGACGCAGTCCGAAAACGGGGACTTATGTTTTGACCTCCGTGTGTCCGTGCGTGCGTGCGTGCGTGCGTCTGTGCGTGCGTCCGGACCTGTATCTTAGAAATGCCTGGACCAATCACAATCAAACTTCACACATACATCATACATGATATCATACATATGCACGTCAATTTGTTCCATGATCTGATTCAAGATAGCCGAATGGCGGCCATTTTTGTGCTAAAAATCATCAAAATCGAGCATTTCCCGGCTGTGTACAGATGGATTTTGTTCAAACCTTGTATATACGTTGGACATTATAGGACCTTGATGCACATCATTTTGTTTTACGATCTGATTCAAGATGGCCGAATGGCGGCCATTTTTGTGCTAAAAAATCCTAAAAATCAAGCATTTCCCGGCTGTTTACAGATGGATTTTGTTCAAACTTGGTATATACATTAGACATTATGGGACCTTGATGCAAATAATTTTGTTTTTCAGATAACATTCAAAATGGCCGACTGGCGGCCATTTTACATTAATCAATGTGGTTCTCGTGCCATATCTCCGACTTGTTTTGACTGATTATGTTCAAATTTTAAATATTCATTATACATCATGTCATAGATAGACAGATATATTGGTTTGACGATCCTATTCAAAATGGCCGAATGGTTGTCATTTTTGTACTAAAAAATCATCAAATATCAAGCATTTCTGGCATTTATGGATGGATTTCGTTCAAACTTGGTACATACATTAGACATTACGGGTTCCTGATGCACGTCATTTTATTTTTCAGATCAGATTCAAAATGGCTGTCTGGCGACCATTTTGTTTTAATGAATGGGTTTCCAGACCCATATGTCTGACTTGTTTTGACTGATTATGTTCAAACTGTTAATATTCATTATACATCATGTCACAGATATACGGATATATTGGTTTGACGATCCTTTTCAAAGTGTGCTATTTTGGTGCTAAAAAATCCTCGAATATCAAGCATTTCTTGCATTTATGGATGGATTTTGTTCAAACTTATAACACACATTACATTACAGGTTCCTGATGCATGTCATTTTATTTTTCAGATTGCATTCAAAATGGCAGACTGGCGGCCATTTTGTTTTAATGATTGGGCTTCTAGAGCCATATCTCTTAAATGCATTGACTGATTATATTCAAATGTTATATATTCGTTGTACATCATGTTCTATATATATATATACCCGTACATATATTCAAAATGGCTGATTTTGAATGCTGTTCCAGAGCAATATCTCTCAATATGGACAAGTACTTGTTTGACGATCAGATACAAATGTCAATCATTTTAATGTTAAAAAAATCATATTCCTGACATGGTTATATTCCAGCTATATTACTATAAACATAACTATATATCTTAAATTTGATAACTAACTGGGACTGTGCCATGCATGGCTTGTTATAAATATTTTTTGAATTTCTGTGGTAGTTGAATCTAACCATCTAACCATCCAACCAATGAGCCAGTGTAGTGTGCTATTTGGTGTGTTATTTTATCGGCCAATATAAAATTATACATGACATTAAATGTGTAGCTCCTCCCCCCTCCCGTGCAGTTATTGCTTGCTGTACAACTTGTGAGAATATAATTAATATACCATTGGCTGATTTAAATTGAATAAATTCAATATTTAATTAATAACAATATTTTTTTTCTTATTTTCATCTAGGCGCCCCATGTTTAAGTTTTGACATCTTGAGGGACAATCTTGGCGACTCTCGCACGCAGTTCCCTTACACCTGCTTCATCGTGGCTGGGACGCAAGCCGAAAAGGCGCACCTCAACAACGTGATTGTTATGAAGATGAGTAATTTGCATAAAACGTGTAAAGAAGATAAAGAGGAAGATGATGAAGACAGCGAGAGTAGTGATGATGAGGAGGAGGAAGAAGAGAAGCCGGAGTTGGAAACAACAACACTGCGACACATGGGAACAGTTAACAGAATTAGGGTAAGTAGTTCTGTAGTGGAATCAACTTTGAAATATGGACCTACATCTATTTACAAAAAAAAATAAAACCTTGCAACCAAACTGTCATGTTTCTTCTAAATCAAAGTGGTCGCTGTTGCTATGTCAACAGTGGCATGATGAACTCCTAATTGGCGCAGCAAAAACTATTTGTGTGCTGTACCAAACGTCTTCATACTGTAGAGGAGGCAAGGGGGGATAGCTGGTAGAGGTTACAGAAAATGAAAAAGGCATTTTACGTTTTTACAGGAAATAAAATGAAAGTTCCATTTACAGTAAAAAATAGGTTTTTACACTTTACGGATAAAGTAAATTCCTAATTACATTTTTATAATATATTTGATAATTTGTGTTTAAGAATCAAAATTGGAAATTGCACACAAATTTATTTAATGTGGAAAATGCTTTATATGCTTACAAAAAAGGGTCTTTGTACAAATTGCGGACGAATAAATAGCTGATTACATTTTAAACCTGGCCCATGTCTACGAATTTACCTTTTTGATTTATTTACGAAAATAAAAACGATTGATTACAGCTTACAAAAATGCCTCTTTAATTCAAATGAAATGAAACTTTTCATATTTTACGTTCCTGAGATATTTGTCATTATTTTTCAAAATATAAATATACTTTTTTATAAAAATATACATACATACATTGATTACATTGATTTGATTTAATTTTCTTATATATTCCATTTATTGTTTTGTGCAGAATACTGTTATTAATGACATACCATTAGCAGCCACGTGGTCTGAAAAAGGGAGTGTCCATATCTGGGATCTAAAGCAACACGTTGATGCGTTGGAAGACAGCGCATTATTGGCTCGAATCACTAAACATGATAATACAAAACCATTGTTTACATTCAGTGGCCACCAGACTGAAGGATTCGCTGTGGACTGGTCACCGACTGTTGTTGGTAGGTGTTTATTAGATGTTGGTTCAGACCATAATCATGCGGGAACGAAATTTCAAGAATGGTTACCATGCCCTGTGTAGTTCAAATTCTTTCGATAAGCTTAATAACAAATTGTGGCGTACCTGAAACTTGATATGCAATAATATACCCACAATGCCACAGAATTATACTGTAGGTGCATCATGGTAAAACATGTACCGGTAGGTGTTTTGTAATGCTGAGTCGCACATACTGTAATATACTTTATTTTAGCTGGCATTAATTTTGGGTGTTTTTTATGGAATTTGTTTTCACTGATTTTTTACCAGTTGAATGTGAAATAGGGTATATTCGCTGGATTTTATTTTCACTGAGTGGTTTCTTCAACGAAAATAGCGCAAATTAATTCCAAGTGAAAATTAAAGTATTTTACAGTAATAGTGTTATCATGAAAATGACTTGAATTGATAGCCATTTTGGCAGACATGATACAATTCTTGCATGCAACTCATAGATGGTTCACAAAATCATTTCACTGGAAATGTAATATCCATTAACATTTTCCGCTACTTATTATTAAATTCATATCACAATTTGTCATAACATGTCATACACCACAGATAAAATCATTACAATTAACATAAATTTGTTATCTTTATTAGGTAAACTTGCCACCGGTGATTGTAAAAAGAATATCCATATATGGAACCCGACTGACGACGGAAGCTGGCATGTTGATCAACGACCATATATAGCGCATACTGACTCAGTGGAAGATATACAGTGGTCTCCCAATGAAAATACAGTAAGTATTTGTTGATTATTTTGTAGTAAATATAACTTTTGCATTGAACGTGGCTATTGTAGCTTTAATTAATTTGACATTTTTGACTCGTGTGTGTGTGTGCGTTTGATGCAAGTCATTCGTCATGTCTGTGTATTTGGATGTGTGTATCAAATCTTGAGAATCACTGGGTGGATTGGTGCATTCGTCATGTCTGTGTATTTGGATGTGTGTATCAAATCTTGAGAATCACTGGGTGGATTGGTGCATTCGTCATGTCTGTGTATTTGGATGTGTGTATCAAATCTTGAGAATCACTGGGTGGATTGGTGCATTCGTCATGTCTGTGTATTTGGATGTGTGTATCAAATCTTGAGAATCACTGGGTGGATTGGTGCATTCGTCATGTCTGTGTATTTGGATGTGTGTATCAAATCTTGAGAATCACTGGGTGGATTGGTGTTCAATTCAATACACAGATTCTTTATGATGAAATCCAGATTCCTTTTTGGTACAAAACAATGCATATTAATTAGGTAATTTGCATACACAATTTTAGCATGTTCTTTGTATTTTTTTGCAACACTTTGCACAAATGCATTGAAACTTGAGCTCTGAGAGCATTCATGGAGCTTTAAAATCGATGCATTGAGACTGTGATTTGTCATATTTGATATTCTGAATTTGCATACATTGCAGGCCTTGTCTTTTACAAATAGGTTCAGAATAAGAAAATAGCGCTCCAAAAAGCTCCGGGCGAGTCATGGGGGTGATTTCAATGTGTTGAGAATGAGAATGTGTAATACTACATAAAAAAATGAAGTGAATCGCTTTCCCTTGCCTTAAAAAGAAATTGTTATTGCTGGGAAAAATGGGGATTTTAAAATTGCTGTGTCACTCAGTAATTCAGCACAGAAGCGAATCCATCCACATTCAAACTCAAAAACAAATGTATTAGTGCGAAGCGAATACAAACAGTCAATCATCAAATAGACAGCTGAAATGATCACCAGCATTCAGACGCACAGAAAAACATTCTACGTTTCCTACAATTTAAACTATAAAATATCTTGCATAATAAGACAACAATAAAGCTCAGCAATTGTTCTAAGAAGGCATCTTTAGAGTCAGTGTAAGATTGTGTTTGATTGGCTACCCAAATCTGATACCCAACGTCCAATCATAAAGCAGCTTGTTTGTTGATGGGTTTATTCGTATCAAATTTTATCTTTATTTTTATTCACAGGTGTTTGCATCTTGCTCAGTGGATAAAACTATACGTGTGTGGGACTGCCGAGCGGCACCGAATAAAGCTTGTATGCTGACAACCACAGCCCATGATAGTGATGTCAATGTCATCAGCTGGAATCGGAAAGAACCATTCATCCTGTCTGGCGGGGATGATGGCTTGATCAAAGTGTGGGACCTAAGACAATTCCAGGTTAGTATATTGATAGTAGATATAGTTATCAACATCCATAGGAGTTTTGTCAGATTGCTGCTTTTAAATTATTTTAACAGTATTTCAAACCCAAAATCCTTTGCACAACGGTCTGATTTTGTTATTCACTACTACATTGAGACTTTCATTTCTTACTTACAGAAAGGAAAACCGGTGGCCAAATTTAAACACCACACTGCACCAATCACATCTGTTGAGTGGCACCATGCAGACAGCACAGTGTTTGCAGCATCGGGAGCTGACAACCAAATGACGCTGTGGGATTTGGCAGTCGAGAAGGACGAGGAAACCACAACATCGGGTGGAGGAAATTCCTCACAGGTGGATGTGCCACCGCAGTTATTGTTTATTCACCAGGGACAAATGGACATAAAGGAACTTCACTGGCACCAACAGTTACCGGGGGTGATTATAAGTACGGCTCAGGACGGTTTTAATATATTTCGGACTATCAGTGTGTAGTTAAATCGATAGTTGTGAATCGATGGTACAATCTGTGTACACTACATGGAATGAATGTCAAATATTTTATTTGTAATATAACTATATGTTGTCTAGAAATTTTGATCCGAGCCATTGTCCACTCCAGGGACAGGTTAAAATGATTTAGTTGCCCTTAATACAAATTTAAATTGACCTCAGCACGTAAAATAACTCACTTTGAGGTTTATAATCAAAAAATTAATTTTTTATTATTTCTGAATTTCAGATTTTTTTATTTATAAATTTATTAAATAGTATTTTGCTTTGCTTTGAGATGTAACACTGACATGATTCTAATTGCATAGTTAATACAATCATGTGATTTTTAAAATCTCCCAATTGTTGTTCTGCAATACAAAATACACTTTATATTGCTGGAGTGTAGGGAAGATAATAGATCGTAATAAAAGTTGAGTTACTGCACTATTCTGTGTATTAGCTGATGAAATATATATATGAATTACATGCATGACAAAATATCTTGCTGTCTTAGTTCATCAATTCCCATGATGCAAGGTGTTCTAATATTGTACAAAACTATGCCATATACGATGTACAATGCATCTGCGATACCAATGAAGCATCTCTGTATAGATGGATATTTTAAGTCAAAGTAAATAAATTTAGATAGATTGAAATGTAAGCTTGTCGCACACACTAAATACAATTTTTCGGGAAGACTTTATTATATTGATACAGAGAAGGTATATGTATTACATTCATTCTTGTACATATCTGTATACCTAGTACTAGGTATTGATAACGTAAAATGTGCGAAGTGAGATTGGTGCCAATACATGTTTATTAAACTAATCATACCAGTGAATGGTTATGTGCACCACTACTAATGAATATCGGAAATAAATGCTGCTTGTTAGATTGTTACTTTTAGTTTGGCATAAAAATCACCTGTGTATGCCACTCCACTATAATATAGATGCAATCCTTGAAATACCTCACAACCAACAAGTTTCTTTAGAAATTAAACTCACTGTTAATTGGTCGGTTCAAATGTTGCATGCTGGGAATTCCTTATAATAAAGCAATCACCCGTGTTTTCATTGATGTTATTTTTATTTGATAAGATGCAACTGTAACAATGTTCCTAGGCATTGGTGGATTGTCATAGTATAAATACATGTATCTGCTGTCTGGAGATCTCTTGAACTTGATATATACCATACTGCAGTGAGGTGGTCTCGTTAAAATGACAATAACTTTCTACGTACATATTCCAATATATTTAGCAGATGATATTTAAATTGTCAGTCTGCTGACTTAAATAGATGTAATTTTTCAGCCAATTAAATGACAAATCATGCTGCTAATTTGTCTCAATAAATATCACCATTTCAGATTCAGTGCAGATGTATCTTTTTCTATTTCATGGTATTGAGTATGTAACATAGTCCTCATTTTATCACTGTCCATGCCTCCTAGCCAATCAGCATAAAGCGTTTCCATCGCACCGTTTTCCTGTGGTGTCCTCGTTTGCGCAGAATGGTAGATTTCTTCCACCTTGGTGAGTAGATCATTTGCACCCTGCAAGTTCTCAGCTCTGATCTGACCACCACCATTTAGACATCCTGGAAAACAAAAATTCAGCAAATATCAATGACAAAACCATTTAGCTCCCTCCCTACCCAAAACAAATAGTGGTGGCATAAATAACGAGAGAAAACCTCAGTTTGGTGTTTGAGGGCGCTGTTTCATAAATCACTTGTTGAAAGAAATTCAACATACAATACTTTTCTATAAAATATAAAAAATGAAGTTTATTATACAGGTTTATTGCCATCAAATGAAAGAGTAATTTTATTAGTATATGTACCACCAAAACCATAGTCCTTAGAATTATATTTCTGAGGCTATCCTCGGGGTCGGAGCTACGTCACGGACGTTCTACATTGGTAAGACGCGCACCACTGTACCACGTATTTCTATGGGCTTTGTGCGCGCTGCTGTGGAACGACGGTAGAGCCGGTGAAAACTCGAGAAAACAACACAAACTCAACTTAAAAGTAATCCTGAACAACCAAATTCATATATGTTACACACGTAGGGCTAATCTTGTTACACTGTTCAGAGGACTCTCAACAACCATCGCAAAGTACCGTTTTCTGCTAGTTTTTTGGTCTTTGTTTTCACCGCGAGGGTTGCCAGGCGGTAGAAAATGCCCGCCCCCGAGGATATATCAAAATTACAACAGGGTTTAGCTCATTTAATGTAGTTTGAGATAAACTTACCTGAAGGACATGCCATGACTTCTACAAAATGGTATGGGCTTTTACCTCTCTTGATCTTCTGTACCAAATTTTGAATATTGCGAAATCCGTTGGCGATTGCAAATTTCAATTCTACTTTTCCATTGACTTCAAGCGTTACTTCCTTAAAATCTTTATTTCTGTAATGACAAATACATGTAGTATACTATATACTGTAGAATACTTTATTTTTGCTTGGAATTTATTTTCGCTGAAGGGATGATTCCGTGAAAATAAAATCCAGCGAATATACTTTTTTTCCTATATTTCACTAAACTCATCAAAAATCAGTGAAAATAAATTCCATACAAAACTCCCAAAAAGCCTTTTCTGCGAAAATTAATTCCATCAAAAATAAAGTATTCCACCATTTGGGGTTCGGGTGTAGCATTTACCTCATTTAAAGTTGAATCTACATATCACCTTATTAACTTAGTAAAACTGTAATTCAATCATTTTATATAAAAAATTTGGTATGGCTGGACATATTTCAAAGATACATGTATGGATGAAATTATGACTTAAAAATTCCCCATTGGTTTAAAAAAGCAATACATACAGACAATGAAATTACATAAAAACTCAACTTAAATAAGAACACTTCAGTTCAATTTTAGATCCAACCATGAATATCTTTTTCTTACCAGGTATATTTTACAAGAATTAAAATTCCTCAAACCAAGAATGTATATGTTTACTAGTTTCTTTCAAGGTTGTGTACCCAAATACAACCATCATCACAATTAGAACTTGATTATAAATTGTACTGATATACAGCTGACAAACCTGAGCATTTTATACTGTATACTATCTACTTGATGTCCGTAGAGTTCAAGGGCAGCATGCTTCAGTATGTACTCAAGATATCCTCCAGATCCACTGCCGCCATGGCCAATCACTTCGTTGTTTTCTGATCTGGTAAATCTAATGTATAGAAAAGAAAATTTGTATTAGGCCACTACAGTTGTGAACAGTAAGAGGGTGTTGTCATAGTTACCAATTGTATGTACCACTGAATTTCCACAAAACAGAGATATCAAGGGGGCCTTTTGATGGGTGTATTTTTTCAAAGCAACTTACATTGTATCTAGGTCATGTGACTCCACATCTGCCAATAGGACTCCTTCTTTTTCTAACATAACTTCCACTTCACCTGAATCAAAATTAAAAGAAAACTTAAATAAAATGAAACACTCTTCAAAAACACTTGGTTTTATTTAGAGGAAATATGATATGTCAAAACATGAAAAAAAAAAGAGGTTTACCTGAAGTGATGACACAATCAACATCCCTCGTTCTGTAAATGTCATTGTAAAAATCTTGCCTCGATGCTTCCAGTTTCTTGTCAAAGCATGGCATCACGGTCACATGATAAATCTGATCGGCAGTTTTGTTGTGTTTTTTAGCGAAATAATCCTTTACAAGTGAGCCCATGATCTGTTGCGGTGACTTTGTCGTACTGATGTATGGTAGTATGTAGCTGCCATGTGTCTTCTCAGCGTAGCACACCCAGCCTGCCGGGGAAGATCAAAGTGAGAGAGAAAAGAGTGAGAGAGAAAAAAGTATGATGCTACAATGTGATTTTGTAAGTTACAAATAATTGAGGACAAAAGCCATGACGAAGATGTTTTCAAAACTTCCCTTTCCATCCCAATGTACAGGATTTCCTGAGTATTTTCAACCAATAAAATGAAGGTTTTATGTGATTTGCATGTTATTATTTCATGTAAATTACATATTTTGTTGTAGCTTTACTTTATTGTAATGTAATCAAAATCCCAATGAGAATACAACATCAGTACGGATAACTGGTATTATTATGATGAATTTTAAAGTGACATATTAGATTGAAATTAAATTTTTAACAATAAGAACCATCACATCAAGGTTGAACAAATTTAATTTATTTTCAATATACCGGTATGTATAGAATAGATGTGAGGAGTAATCTCACAATAAGAACACAAAATGTTTTTAAAATTACATAGGTATGAATATCAGGTTAGGTGGGCAAGAGTTTAAATTCAGTTTCGGCATAGTTTAGGGTTTAAAACATTTTTTCAAATTATAATTATTTACCAGCAGTCTATCATTATTTTCAAAACTGCAAACATTTCTACCACCTACCAACATGCACACGAATGGGAAATGCAATCTGAGCTAAAGTATGCTTTATGGAAATCAGGTAATTCACATAAATTCGATACAATTTTGTATCCATTTTCTGACATTTTTCAAAGCATGTATCAGCACATAATTTGATGTTTGCATTACATTTTGGTTTTTTTTTACAGAAAGACCATTTCCAGCGAGAAAGTTCTCAGTAACCTGCTACTGTATAGAAACATTCCCGATGACTGGATGACAATCTCCCAACTATCAACACGAGTCTGATGAGTGTGCCAACCACACGAATCGAACGCACAATCTCCCCTGTGCTATATGGATTATTGACGGGTACAAATAAATGCTGAGAAGCAAATTTAAGAAGTTGAGGTTTTATTGTGAAATGACAAAAATAATATTTTACCTGGACAGGCAGATGCTAGCATGGGAAGACTACCTTTCTGCGTGCTTTTCTTAAACCTTGTTATAAACTCCCTCCCACTCTCAATCAGACTGAAGTCTCTGGTAAACGTTGTGTCAAACACATAGTGGACACCTGCAAGGAAATGGTAAAAATAAAAGTGGACCTCACGTATGCTATTGGCAAAGCATACTGGAAAGACATTTTTTGTAATTATATTAGAAGACACTCCATGTGTCTCACTAACTCCATGCTCCATCACCTAGATACATTTGTGGCTGCAGTACAGTCTGAGTGTAATTCAACATTTAGCTAGATTTAAGGTAACTCAACACCCCCATATATCTGAAATGTGCACAGTAATCTGCATAAACTCATCTCATATATCAGTAACATAGACAAACATCACAAAGAATAAATTGTATTTATTGGTGACAATGCTACTCCCTTTAAAAATTATAGGTTTCTATGAAAAAGGTAAAACCAGCTGATCGCTAGTTTGTATTAAAGTTTAAAGCGGGGGGGGGGGGGGTCATCTGCACATACGTCAGATGGCCATAGCGTGCCATTGTTTACAAACATGCCTCTACCCATGAGCCTTTGCGTTATTAGCATACTGTAGGTTACAGGATTATTTTTTTTTTTCCTGAATGTGTTTTTTTTCTTTTGCAGAGAAATTTAATCAACCTCAAATGAGTACAGGAAAACCAATATGTGCATTAAATTTTCTAGTTTAACTAGCCTATGATCACTGAATATGACAATACCTATATTCTTGAAGAAGCCTGTTATCTTTGCTGCTGCATCATAGACTGAGAGACCATACTTTGCAGCCAACGATGCTCTCGACTGTGGTGAAACTGACACTATAATTACTTTTTCCTTCTCTGGAGTTCCATTCTGAAAAGTGAATGAGGAATATTCTATCAACATTAGGTCAAGGATTCAAATATTCATGTTCTGGGGCACTGTACGCCAGTTCCAAATTGCATATCACAGATTTTTAACATAATTCTAGAAGAAATAAATTACCGGTAACATAATTTTAGAAAAAAATAAATTCCCATGAGAAATTAAAAATAACTTATTATTAAATAATTTGTTTACATTATACATTAGTGCTTAGCAACAATCTCATGGAAGAACTGAAAAACATGTCTTTTTAGCAAGCATGTTAAATTTAGCTAATCTGTAATTTCGTTTTACAGAAATCCCACTCATGATGAAGAGTCTAGTTGAGGTTTCCTGTAAAGTTTGCACTGATAACATCCGATGCAATCAATAAATTTAATGAAATAATTTTTTTTATTCTTTCTTATCTCCTTATATTTTATGATCAAAGTCATTTTGGATTATGATCATTTACTGTTATAATTCAAATTAAAATAGTTTTGTATACTGTAAAATACTTTATTTTCGCTTGGAATTAATTTTCGCTGAAGGAATTATTCAGGGAAAATAAAATCCAGCGAATATACCTTTTTTCCTAAATTTTACATTCAACTCATCAAAAAACAGTGAAAATAAATTCCACACAAAACACCCAAAAAGTCTTTTCAGCGAAAATTACTTCCAGCAAAAATAAAGTATTTCACAGTATTTTCCTCTTAACAAATCTCTTCAACAATGCATACTTTGCAATGTATTCTGTTCTCTTCTATCGCCTTGTACAATTCTTCTTGACTTTGTTGAGTGATGAGGACACTTTCAGCTGATGTAATGCAACCACTGCAGGCAAGGCAGTCATCTAAGGTTATCTCCGCTTTTTTTAGTTTGGTTGCCTCCCCACTCTGTAAACAAACAAATTAACGAATACATGAAGGTTTATTATTATCCAACTGCAAACAGTTACGGTATATTAAATATATGAATAGATTAAAATGGCATGATTACCGGTAATGTAAAACACCATATTCAGGATTTATTTTATTATGAAATCAATATTATTGAAACAAACATAATATGCCCCTAGGCCTAAGAAAAAACTTCATATTTTTTATGTGTCACCATGTAAATTAAAGAATGACATGAATGTTGAAATAGCTCTTCTGTGTATCTACATAAACATCAAATTTAACACACATTGCAAGCATGTCTACTTTGAAATAAGATAAAATTTAAATGCAGTTGGACGACCACTAAAATTCAGTTTAGGATGCCAATACACTTATAAAATCCTTTGTGAATAGTCGCCGGTGTTGCCTCTGCCATAGTTAAGCCCCTTTATGCTGGCGTACATGTTCTCATCTGTTTTCACACTATTATAACTATTACATAATGTTTATGCCCATGCTAAAACACTGTTTTCTTGTAAGTTATGTTGGAGTAAAGAGACACAAAAAACAGATGTGAACATGTTATCTATTTGAGTGTTTGTACTCCTGTGTTCAGATCTTATCTCTGATAAAGATAATAGCACCCATTCATCAAACCCAAAGTCAAATTAACCAAAAAAGACAAAAAATATTAGCTAAAATCACAGAATTGAAGATATCGTCACAAAATAATAAAATCTAATGGACGTACACACAAGGTAAACAGAAACCAAGTAACTAAGTTGGAACCCATCAGAGTGGAAGTTTTCAAGAAGAATTAAAAAAAAAAAAAATTTTTGAAAAAAAATTACGCAATATTCATTAAAAATAAACTAATGAAGATATTGTGATGAAATGAACAAATCTCATAGAGGTCCACTCAAGTAACTTACTTGCCACATAGAAAAGCAATAGTGAGTTAATGGTGTTAAAGAAGAAGTTGCTTAAAGAAAACATTGACAAGGGACGCAGGACGATAATGACAGGCATTCCTCTATACCAACAGCTCCTTCTGTCAGCTTTGATGATAGCAGAGTGCGCATGTAAAAATGGGTGTGTTACAACTTTTTACAGTTTTTGTCATAAATTTACAATTAAATGATGAATACTATGTAAAGGATTTCTGATTGGTTGTACAGTACTATTAGTTGTAAGGGAAAATGTCTTTATGGCAGCGTCTTTTTGATAGAGGTGGTAATTTAATGATAGGATAGTAAAAAAAAATTAAAAATTATGTCGTTACATACTTCGTTAATATGGAAATAACTGCCATCATCCTCTATTTTGATTCGTCCTCTGCCACCAGCCGACTTCTCCACTTTGACAGGCTTGACACATTCCTAGTACATACAGCATTTGAAGAGAAAGTTCAGTGCAAACAAGATTGGTTTAACACAAGATAGACAGTGCTACAAACACGTAACAGAACTTCTGGGGTAATTAAACATGTGCTAGACAAGTGATGCCAGTGGAGGTGAAAAAAATTTCAATGTTAAAGGGCGGGAGTCGTTACGTCCAAGCTTTAATTAGGTAATTTTCAGGTGATTGGAAGGTATCGACGGAGTCGCCTGTAGTAGTCAGTGCATGTCGCGCCCAGGTCAAACCTCATACTTGTGATTTCCATTTGAAGGGCGCATTGGATTGGGGGACAATCAATGTTTATCAACACAAATGTCGCACATGCGCAGCGCGACGATCACCGCGCTTTAATACTGACATTCTGAGCACTTTGGTCGCATTTCCATGATTGAACTCTTGGTTTTTAGTTACACAAGTCAGACACCTCACCAAATGATCCCATAGTTTTAATAAATATCGATGTAAACCACAAATCAACAGTATAACCCCCTCACCTGTGACGGAGTAATAAAATCATCCAAATCTGTTAGCTGCAACGCTCCGCTGAAATGAGAAGCCATGTTTAGGTGTCACAACCTTTGACCCAGGTCACAAGCGTCCAATCACAATCAACACTCAACCCTCGTTGAATTTCCGGGTTTCAGATGATATTTTGTCCCCAGCACAGCAAAACCATTAAATACGTCTTACTTTGTTCCTTGTCTGTCGACTTACTTTGACTGGGATAACGCTGATCCATGAATTATTGAAGAGATGAGTTGATCGAATCCACTAGAAAGTCAAACATCGCTGGAATTGAACTTTGGTTCCCAGTACTGTTGTGTGCTTGACTTGAAGATTTGTTAACTTCATTAATCATAAGTGTCAACTGAAATTTATTTTAATTTCATATCAGCACGATGACGTACATGAAGATAGCCAAGAAATCGGACCGGATTCTGCACCTTTCCAGAGAGCCTGGCATCCGAGCATGGAGTATGTTTGTTGGTAAGTTCGAAATATAACGACTGTCTACTTATAATCGTGTCAAAATAATTAAGGGGTGCATTATTGGGGTTTAAAATGTATTTAAAATCTCGCGAGGCTTCTTGAAAGTATGTTGAATAATACAGAGCTTAGCAGTACTAGTTTTACACTCTTTTCACTCTGTCCGTGGTAGTCACGTGGTTTATGGTCCATTATAAAAACAAACAACTTAAAATAACATTTAAAAACTCAAGATGATGGTTGAAAACCATGAACCAATTACAGTAACAGTAAATGTAACCTCACTATTTTGAAATGATCTGAGTTATCCAATCAGCAATCAGTTCTGTGCATAGAGGAGG